GACCAAGATTACAGATATCTGGATCCAACCGATAATCTTAACGTTAACCGATACAGATCTAGTATTTTCAAAATCATCGTCCGTGGGATTCGAACTCTAGATCTGCCGCTTGGGGGTGCAGCAACCCCACCACTTCACTAGGTCGCCACACCCTTTTTTTTTTTTTTTAATTTTTTTTTTTTATACAATTTGAAATATGTGTTATGTATCTTACCCCACATATAACTGTTGTGACTAACTAATACTTAGAAGTCATATTCACAGTATCTATTATTTGATGATTATTAGTTGAAAAGTTCTGAAGATTATAAATGTTTAAGTCTTACTTATACATATATTTTTTCTTATTTAGTTAGTATAAGTAAAATAGTATTATTAGTTGAAAGTTTAGAGCTTAAGAAGTTTAAGTCTTATTTATATACTTTTTTCGTATATTAGTTTATAAAATTTTAATGATATCATGTTTGAACTGCTCTATTGTTATACTATTTTTTTTGTAAGTTTTTTTTTAATTCTTTTTTTTTATATAATTTGAAATATATTATATGCTCCACCTCTATACAACTATTGTAACTAAACAATACTTAGGAGTCATGTCCATAATATTTATTATTTAATATTTATTAATTAAAAAAAGTTCTAAAGATTATAAATATTTGAGTTTTACTTATATATATATGTATATATTTTCAAAGTGTATTAGTTTTAATAGGTATTATTAGTTGAAAGTTTTTAAGCATATATTGCATAATATATTTGTATATTATATTGTTTATTAGTTAATAACATATTCAAATATTAGATTTATATACTATATAAATTTGAACTCCACCAACTTTTAAGATACATAAGTATATTAATAGTCTTACTTTTTAGATTGCTTCTTTTTGGTATAACTAAATCTGTATCACTAGAAAATACTCGCTCAATTGGAGCACTTGTTGCTAAAAATAAATTAAAATTAAAATTAAATTATAATAAATATTAATAACATAATTTAATTTACCTAGAATAGCTAAATAGTCTTAAGCCATTTTAGATAAATTTGGATATCTTAAAGAATTACTCTATTTAATAAAAATTTAAATAATTTTAATTTTAATATAAAATATAAATTTAATATATAGTCGAACCTCCCTATAGTCACCTTCTATATAAGCACATTTTCTTTAAAAACACATTTATTTAAAAACAAACTATTATTAAATATAATAAATTTAACCTCTATAATTGTTACACTTCTTTACAATCATGCTTTTATATATCCCAAATATGTAATTATAGAGAGGTTTGACTGTAATAGAATATATAGTACCTTTTACCAAATAAGAATATCTATATCTTAATTTTTAATCTCTTCTTTAAAATAACAATCAAGTTTATCTTTTTTACTTTTCACTTTTCTTTTTTTAAATATATGTAAAAAATATCTTCATTGTCATCATCATTAATATTATTACTATTATTATTATTGCTATTATTATTATCATCAATATTATTATTATTTCTTTTTTATTGTTGAACAATATTTGGAATTTTATCTTTATAATTTTTATTCCAAATATTGGTAATTGTTTCTTTGGCTACCATAATATTTTTATCTTTCTAGTTATTCTTTTTATAATATTCTATTTTTAATCTAGGATCTAAAATTAAATAATAATTAATATAAAATATTTATTTAATTATAAATTAAAAATTAAAATTAATCTTACTAGTAGCAATTGTATATACATATCTATCTGTAAATAGATAATATTCAAGTATTTTAGATTTTGTAGCATCTGTAGCATTTACTATAACTAATTCTGTTGATTCATTAATTATTTTTCTAGTTTATTTATTAAAAAATTATAAACTAAAACACTATATATAAGTGTAGAATAATTGATCTTCAATATATTTAGTTCATTTTTTAATATGCTAAATAAAAATAATTTAGTATAATATTAAATAATTAGCAAAATATTATAAATAAAATTAATTCTAAATTATAGACCAGCATTAAATTTAAAATTTCTTGAAGATATTTCTATTTATTTTCTAACAATTTATATATTTCAAGTTTTTTATCAGCAAGTATAAAATTTTTGATTGCCTAAATTATTTAAAATATAATTTATATATTAATTAATTTAATAAATAAAATAAAAATTTTTTAGTATAATATTTTTAATAATAAATTAAATAAAAATAAATTATTATTTGTTTAAGATTTAATACTTTTTCAATTATCATACTGTACTTGTTGAATTCCAATGAGTATTATTATCAGAAATAAGTTGTAATGGCTTAAGTACAGTATCAATACACTGTTGTTTAAAATTTTGTTGACACTGTGGTGATGCTCTTATTTTAATAATAATTTTTTTTAGCTAAATATAGTATATTAAAATTAAGTTAGTATATAAATAATATAGTATAATAATAATAATTAAATTAGTATATAAATAAAATAGTATAAAAATAATAATTAAATTAGTATATAAACTAGGTAAATGCATAGCATTGTGTGTCTAGAGCTTAATATTTAACTAAAAAATAAACTATACTAAATTTAAATTTTAAAAAAATAATATATACAAAAATAAATTTTTAATTTTTATTGTTTATCTAGTAACACTAGCCAATTAGAATACACTATTTTAATAATCTTTTAAATTAATTATTATATAATTGAAGTTAAATTAAATAACTATATAGGCTATGTGCTAAAAAAAGCCCAAATTAACAAACCAAAAAATCTTTAAAAATCAATTTTTGTATTATAAATCTATAAGAAAATACAAACTTTAAAGAGCTATACTGCAAAATTTTATTAATATAACTAATTTTGTGTTTTAAATAAAAAATGATTCTAATCTTATTCTAAATTGATTTATACAAAAAAATTACTTTTAAAAATTGTCAATTTGGTTCTTTTCTTATCACATAGCTTATATATTTTAACTTATATAGATTGTAATTTAAAATGCTAAAAATTATTTGCTTTAATACTAATATTTTTTTTACATATGTATATAAAATACAAATAATAGTTTATTATTATTATTACAAATAGCTATATAGATTTGAATAATCACTTGATTTTTATTTTACAAAATATTCACTTATATAGTCCAATAATTCTAAAAATAAAAATACAATTTTATTTTACTATTTTTGTTATATAACTATGCTTTACTAGAATCTATTCCAAGTTTTTTATTAAACAAATATTTAATTTGAATAATCTATTACATATATCAGTATCTACATATATCAGAGAATTTTAGCTTAGAACTATAAGAATGCAATTGAATAGATTTTATTTAATAAATTACATCATTTAAAAATCAAATCCTTCAAAAATAACATATGTTCTTGATATTAGTGCTTATGGCATCCTGTACTAACATGCATCCTAATATGGCACATAATTTATTGTTGCAATAAATGATATTAGTCAACACTCCATATGTGAATTATGCTCCATAAAGAATATTCTATAAATGTGCTTTTACCCAAAAATATGCAGTTATGGAAGGTTGACTGTATTGGATTTAGAAATTTAACTCTTATTTTGAGATAACACATATAGGTATATTCTAAATAATGTGCAAGTTAATTAATTAGTGCAGGTGGGTATTATTTCATGCTTATATAGTATCTAATGTTAAAGAAATTGGTAAAAGAGAATTTAATTATATATATTCAGCAACTTGATTAGATAGTATACAAAAATTAATCATAATTGTGTAAATCTTATATTTACTTGAAATTTGATTGATCAAAGAAATTTTTCATAGTAGTAACGCTATACAGCATACTACATCACTCATTGCAATATAACTTCAGGGTAGTATGATCTCTACATCATAGTCATAATGCTGTAAGTAGTCACTACTCTAATAAATTTCTGTATTATTAGTAAATAGTTAAGCACTACCTCAAAATATAAAGTATCTGCTAATCATGTTTTTTCATTTTAGCACAAAACCATGCTTCTAAATTACTTTGAGATAGAATAATTGTAGATATTAGTAAATCAGAGTATATAACACAAACTGGCATGTATATGTTTCAGAATTGAAAAACTTTTCACTTATCTGATATGTCAATAAAGGTTGTGTGAACAATAGATAATCAAAATATTTACCACAACACTCAAAGAAAATGTGAAAAAAGAAAAAATGAAACATCTGAGCAACATGAAGTACGATGACTTTGAGATTGTGAAAGAAAGCATGAAAAAAGAGCTGTAGAAATGCTCGAGGAACAAGAAATGCATCTTACAAGCATTCACAATTATTACCAAAAATGTTAAAACAAGTAACTAAAAGTAGTGAGAATGATGGTGTGAATGATGGTAAGAATGATAGTGAGAATGATATGAATAATAGCATGAATAGTACGAATAATCAAATAAATGATGCGAATATTATGATTGATGGTGTGAATGGAGTGAATAATAATGTGAATAATAGTGTTAACGATAATATGAATAATAATATGAATAATGTGAATAATGGTATGAATGGTGTAAATATTGTAATTGATGGTGTGAATAATATGAATGATGTAAATAATAGTGTAAATAGTGTTAATGGTAGTATGAATAATAGTAGTGAACAAATAAGACAAGAGAGTCGATTAAATAATGATAAGCAAGAAATGCAACATGCCAATATCTAGGAGATACAAATTAGTACAACTACACCTGTTGAACTACTTTCTGCTGCTGATCTTAGTGAACTTGATCAAGCTCTTCTATATAAATTTTAGACTAAAATAGATAAGATCAAATATACTCTTTGCCCCATATATAATGAAAGCTTTCCATCAATAGTTCTTGCTATGGGGGAGTGTCGTTGTTGTTATAGTGAAAAGACCTTTCCAAAAAAGTTTTCTGAAGAAAATAACATGAACCCTGGTAAAGTACCAGAAGAATTGCAAGGACTTACACAGATAGAAGAAATGTTAATTGTACAAGTTTTCCCAATAATGTCAGTCTATAAACTTCATGGTGGGCAATATAGGTATCATGGAAACATAATAAACTTTCCACAAAATGTACATGAATTCACTACCCATCTTCCCTGAAGTCCCTCATCATTGGATATGTTAGTTGTACACCACCAGTCAGCAAAGTCAGAATCCTTTAGGGATTTTCTAGTCCGTCATGAGAAGGTTGCTTGTGCATTAATGTGGTTAATAGAAAATAATCAGTATTATAATAAAATTACAATTGATGAAGATGTTCTTTAGTCCTTACCTGCAAATAGTTACGTTGATGATCAGCTCACAAATAATAAAATAGTAGCTAAAAAATTAGATAATAAAGAAGTTGAGGATGATATAATTATGCGTACTTTTGTTTCATCTCTTTCACCAGTTTATAGAGAAGATAATACTATTAAAGAAACTCTTAATCGCATGCAAAGTAAGAGCAATCCTTTACTATAGCCAAATATAGAAAATACACCTATTAACAAATTTAGAACACCAGGTTATATTGCATGTGCTTTCCCAACTCTTTACCCAACAGGATTATCTGATCTTTGGTCAGAATGCATTAGAGATATCAATCTAGCAAAATATTTCATATATTTACTTCAGTACAAAGATGGAAGATTTGCATGACATATGCATTGGAGATATTTTGCATTGAATTCTATAATGCGATGGCAGGCACTGCAAGAGGGAAAAGTGTATATTAAGCAAAAATTTAGTGATGAGCAACTTACAGTTAAAGATATTCAAGACATGATTGCTCAAGATGATAAATATGTTGCTGACCGCATTATACGATATGGTGAAGTTTTGTGTAGATCCTAGCAATTTTGGATGAAACAATATCATGAATTGTCAGATATGATTAAACAAATAGGTTCAAGGGGCTCATGTACTTTATGTTTAGTGCTGCTGACTTTTATTAGCCAGAGCTTCATGAACTTATTGTATCTAGCAAAAACTTTGCCCAAGTAACTGAATTTACACAACAGCAAAATATAATTGATAATTTGCATATTGTGGCCTGGTTCTTTTGCAAGTGCTTTGAGACCTTTTTTAATGATGTATTAAAGCAGCAATGGGATCTTGAAGATTGGTGGTATCGATTTGAATAGCAGCACCGTGGTAGTGTTTACATGCATAGAATCAGAAAATGAACGAAATGCACCTGCAATCAATTGGATACAAATAAAAGGTGATGAAAAAGCGATAAATGAAGTAGTACAATATATTGATACTTTAGTTTCTACAATTAATTCTGAACTTAATGCACCAGTTTCAGAATGACATCCATGTCAAAAAGGTAGTGAAGAACTGAAAGATGATCTTCAAGATTATATAGAATTGGTTAACAAGCTACAATGACACACACGCTGTAGTCTCTTATACTGCCTTCACGTTAATCGGTTAGGATAATAGTTCTGTAGGTTTGGGTATTCTAAGGATACTATTGATCATACTATATTATACGATGATGGATATGGTAGGCCAGAGGTTATTATGGCAAGAAATGACACATTAATCAATTCACACAATCAACTTCAACTACAGGGCTAGAGAGCAAATGTAGACATCAAACCAATTCTTAGCACCCATGCTGCTTTACAATACATTTCAAAGTATGCAAGCAAAGCAGAATCGCAATCAGCAACTTTTTCTGAAATACTAAACCAAATCTTTCAAAAAAGCAATCTGGAAAATCTATCACTTTCTTCTATTCAAAAATTACTATTACATAGTGTTGCAGAACGTGATGTCTCTGCTCAGAAAACCTAACATCTTCTTCTAGGTATTTCACTATACGGATATGTGTTATTTCACCGACAATCACTTCACAGACAACTTAGTTCACCGACAATCAATTCACAGACAAGTTCATTTCACCT